GAATAATGCTCTACCAAGGCTGAGCTTGGTATTGTGGTCTCAGTGCTTGTTACCTCCTTAACTTAAAACCTAACTGCTGAAGTACCTACATTAGGAAATAGGATCTTTAGGAGATGACAAGGTTATGGAAGCTTTGCCCTCATGAATGGGAACAATGCCCTCATAAAAGAGGCCTGGGCTGGGAAGGTGGCTCAGTGGTAGAGCGCTTGCCTTGCATGCATGAGGCCCTGGGTTCGATTCCGCAGCACCACATAAGCAGAAAAAAAGCCGGAAGTAGTGCTATGGCTCAAGTGGTAGAGCGCTAGCCTTGAGCTGAAGAGCTGAGGGACAGCTGAGGGACAGGCCCAGAGTTCAGGTCCCATGACCAAAATAAATAAATAAATGAATGAATAAAGACACCTAACAGATCTTACTTGTCCTTCCTACTCTATGAATTATAGCAGAGACTGCCCTTACCAGAGAGAAATTGGTCACATTGATCTTGGACTTTGCAGTCTCTAGAATTGTGAGAGTCAGCTTTCTACTATTTCTAAGTCAACTCTAGCTTATGGTTATTTTGAAATAGTTGTCCAGATGGACTAGGACATTTGGTTTTATGATTTGCTAAGGTAGTTTCATATAACCATTTAGATAAAAGGAATTAACCTTTCATGTAAGAACTTTGAACCCTCATAAATATTTATTGAATGAATAAGTGAATGTGCTAGATAAGAAAGGATATAAACCAACAGAGGTTAAAGGGAATGTGCTTATATGTTTATACATTACAATCTGAAATTAATTGCCCTTCAAATGTATAAATATGTTCCACCATTAACAGAGTTCTTTCTTCCCATAGTAGTGATAAACTTATATAGTAAGTTAAAAGCTGCATGCTACATACTGGTAAACTAAGCAAAGCTTCTATTTTATTAATGTACTTTAGTTGTACAAAGGAGTGTCACTGTGAAACATTCAAGTATGTATATAATGTGCTTTGATCAAATTAATTTCCTTATCCCTATAACTTCTCTCTTTCTTACCACACTACCTTTGATAATTTTAACAGGCTTCATTATTCTATTTGCATGCATGCATATAAAATATTTTGATCATATTTACTCCCTTCATCATGTTTTTCATCCCACTTTTTCCCCAAGCAGCAAAGCTTCTCCCTCCATATTTCTCCCTTCCTAGAACCTCACTGCTCTCCAGTTACACACATCAATTGTATAAGAGGTTAGTTATCTTGCAATGAAACAAGATACAATTAACTGTCTCACAAGGTTATTGAAATCATGACCTCATGTATATAACACCATAACCAGTCAGCGAGGAGATAATAAATCTTCACATGCAAAAGAGTTAGCTAAAGACCTGGGTGTGGTGGTACACACCTGTAATCCAAGTACTTAGCAGGCTGAGGCAAGAGAATCACAAAAATCAAGGCCAGTATGAGCAATAAAGTCAGTCATCGTCTCAAAAAAAAAAAAAGCCCTAAATTCTCAGCTTTTAAAGCATGCTTTAGAAAAGTGTTCCAAGAACTAAACAGGTATGTATTCTAACTCTTAACTCCAACCAAATTGCTGAGCTTTCTACTCACCTGTCATTTATAATAAAGATCTTTAAGTATCACTGAAGTCACCTAAATGTACTAGCTGTGTATCATAAGGAAAACAGAGACAGTAATGTAAATAAATGGAATATGCATGCAATGTCTGCCTCTTCTATTTTAGAAGTCTGTCTCTGTTGGCCAAAAATTACTTTCACAAAAGTATTAATTACCTATTGTTAGCTTAAAGGATGCCTGGAATGTTATGGCTAAACATGAAACTACTCACTGGCTAATTTCCTTCAAGACAAGACAATGTTTGCTCTAGTCTAGAGTTTCTCCTATCTAAAAATAAAAAGTATATTTAAGATTAAAGACACTCTGAGCATTTCACTGTTATATGAAACCCTTGCCTGTGTACAATCTGTTAAATTTGTCCTCACTTTGTGACAGCGTTAGGTGCTTCTAGACATTCCAAAGAGATACCCTGTTTAAATTACCAAGGCTATGGAGACAATGGATTATGAACAAGGCGCCTCAACCAGACCCTTCTTTTATCTCTGAGCATGGTCACAACCTCTGGACAACCTGGCAAGTCTTATGAATTTCAAGTATTTTAGGGACTAAGTTGAGTTGTATACCATCTCTTTATTCCTATTTTGCCACTCAAGCTTTAAAATTGAAGCATATCTTAAAAGATGTTTTTCTACACTCTATATACAGAAAATGTTCCTATATTTCTACATATTTTTCTGTATTTCTATAATACAGTTCAGTTAATTGGTACTGCATTATAGAAAATAAGTGAGTAGCTAAGCACTAGTGGCTTATGCCTAGCTACTCAGGAGGCTGAGATCTGAAGATCATGGTTCAAAGCCAGCTGGGGCAGGAAAGATTGTGAGGCTCTTATCTCCAATTAAACTCCATAAAACCAGTGGTGGAGCTGTGACTCAAGTAGTGCACTGCTGGCTTTGAGCACAGGGACAGTGTCCCAGCCCTGAGTTAAAGTCCCAGGACTGGCGCACACACACACATAAACTCACAGAAAATTAGTGGGTAAATGTGTCAGAAGTCTTTAAGGACTATGAAGCTTTTCTCCCAGTAAACCTGTAGCTGGGAACCTTTCTTATAAAAATGCACCATAAACATCTAAAATATTGTATTATGAAACTACCTGGAAATAATTAACCATAATATACGTATCAGCATGATTACAGTTACTAAGAGTTTTGAATAATAACAGAAAATGTTTGATATTATATTAGCTGAGAAGCTAGATATGAAGTTCTACTTTTACAATATACACCATATGAAAATAGTACTTAGTTGCACTCAGTATTTATATAGAAAATTGGTTAAATAAATTAAACATAACAATTTGGGTTTTCTCTTGTTTATTTTCTGTTTGTTTTTGCCCTAGTGATGTTTGAACTCAGTCTATCAGTTGAGCCCATGTCTCCACCTGTGCTTTTTGCTTCTTATTTTGGAGATGAAGTCTTGTGGACATTTTTGCCTTAGGCTTGTCTCAAACCACCGTCCGCCAGATTTCAGCCTCCTGAATATCTGAGATTACAGGTAAAAGCAACTGGACTATGACTATGTTTTTAGGAAAGAATCTTGCAAAGGAAAAGGCTGAAACATACATATTTATATAATTATCCCTGGATAGTGAAGGTAGGCATGGTTTTGTGTATTATTTTTAAATGATAATATTAACATTTCATAAAAGAGAAAAATAAAAATTATCTTAGAGAAGAGATCTGTTCAGGAGCATATTCTTGAGAATTTAACATACAAAAGAAAATCTACTAGATATTTAGGTTTGCATTGTTTTATAATATTTTTTAAAATATGGTTTAGAAAGCTAAACCATATAGAAAGCTAAACTTTTCACCAGTAGTATTTCAGATATGAGTTGAAAAAGTCATGCATGACAATACACTTCACAGCTAGCTATAAAAGTAGGAACCATTACAATCAAACTTATACTGTTTTAAGTAACTAATTTACATCAGATACCAAGGTAGATGTTCCACGTTTAATTTTTTATTTCAACATTTGATTAATTGTAATTGTACTAATACATGATATTGTTTTATGCAATATGAAGACAAGTAATAGGTTTTTTTAATTCTATAAGGAAACTTGATCTTAATCATATGAGACTTTAGTCCATTTTTTATTGCTAATAACATAATACCACAGATTGGCAATTCATTGAGATAAACAAATACATTTATTTTTGCTCATGATTCTAGCAAGACAAGGGTTACATCTGACTTCTTGCTGATAAAGTCCTGAGGTAGTTCAGTGTGTCATATTGTGAGGAACAGGGAGTATGAGTGACCTAATCAATGTGTCTTTTACAGGAGACCTACTCTGGAGATAATTTACTAAATCATTCCTTGCCTTAATTGATTAATTCATTCATGAGGGTAGAAAGAATTTAATAATCACCTCTTAAATATCACACCTGACAAGCTCTCCTCTCCCTTCCTTTCTCACTTTCTCCGCTTCCTGGCCACCATAATGTGGGTGGCTCTGCTCTGCCACATCCTCCAACCAAGACAGACGGACGGAAACCTCTTAAACTGTAAACCAAAATCAGTCCTTCCCTGAAGTTGTTTATGCAAGACACTGTGTCAAAGCAATAAAGTTAACTAACACAATCACCCATCTAACAGGGTCTCCCTTATTACTAATCACTTCTTTACAAACTTCATTTATTAATGTCTGGATTTTCTATCTTTGCTAAACAATAACTCCATGAGCCTTGTCATGGCCACTTTTTCTTCTATTCCTATGCTTACCGAATAATAGGTACATGAAAAAAAAATATTTCTGTGCCAACTCTTTACCCAAAACTTGAGTGTTTGCATGATCTTCTGCTCTAGAGTTAGCCACAGGCCTACTGTAACTATGTGCAAAGCCAGGACTTCCATCAGTGACACAGGGTAGCGAGCCGGGCCAAGCATGCACCCAGGTGCCTTTCAGAGGATGGCAGTCGAGTTGATGACCCCTACAGACCCAAAGTTGGGGCCCTTCAACTCTCTAGAGCAAACTGAAGAGTTTTCCATTAGCCATAGACAACTTCTGACAACCTACCACTCTCACGTTCTGTAGCAAGGTGATGTCCCCAGTAGTCACCATTCCCAACAGCAAAAGAAACAGGGAGGAAACCGCAAGTCTTTCCTCCAAGCCCAGCCCCGCTCCTGGGCGCCGCCATCTTTCCTCCAGCCCCGCCCTTAGAACCACAGAGATGCTGTGTGGCTAGAGGGACTTCCTCCAGGTTGACCTGCTGGGGTCTGATTCTTCCAATTTGGAACCCAGGCGACAGCAACGGCCCGGGCCCGAGCTCAGCAAACCTGGTTATCCGCCATGCATTGGAAGTGTCGGACCAGAGGAAGGTAAACTGCAGATTTGACAGGAAGAGAGCTGGTCGTCGTGGTCCCTGGGCGGGTGAGACAAGATGGGATCCTCCAAAACAGCATCCGACCCCAGGGTCCCCAGGAGAGTGCGCCTCACAGTGGGCCCCCAAAGAGAGGGGGCCCCAGCAGGGAGACTTAGGGCCCTTGCCCAGCCAGAGAAGGCTTCAGGACCACAGGAGCCTCCCTCTCCCAAGAGCAAGGAGGTGAACAACCCCCAAACGAGGGCAGTGGGGGACCTCCTGGCCAGGGAGATCCTGACACGTTTATTCTCCTCCTACGCGTGGAAACATCCAAAATCGACCTCAGCGAAGAGCTGTAGCCCTGGGTGGCAGACCCTCAAGACCTGCCTAAGTGCTTGCTCCTCGTTCATCACCTTCAGGGACCTCTACAACACCCCCAGTGAGACTTTGGATTCCTCCATCTCCTTGGCTGAGGACTCGGAGGTTCCCTCTCCACAATCACCCTATCTTACCATTTTAAATGAATATATGAGTCCGGAGATGCTAACACAGTTGGAGAGAACGGTGAAAAAAAGAGCAGTGCTAGCCCTGAGGACACTGACCAAACAGAAACAAGAATCTCAAATGAAGCAACAACCCCTACTGCAGGAGAGCAAGCAATTGTTGGAGGAAAAGTTACATGTCTATGATGACAGCAAATTCTTTGTGGACTATCTGAACAAAATAAACGAGCAGCGTAAAAAGAAACATCAGGAACTGTGGGAGGAATACTTCCAACAATGTGGGGCTATAGAACAAAAGAGACAAGAACTAGTCTCCCAATACAGAAAACAAAATGCAGACCTAAAGGCACAGCTCATGCAGGGCAGAAAGAAGCAGTCCAATGCAAAGCGCCAGTTGCAGACAGTGAGTCACATTACGAAAATAAAAGAGAAACAGAATATGAAATTAGAGGCATTAAAGCAAGAGACAGACCAAGTCCTGATGGAGACACCTTTCAAGGACCGGTCGACCCACTTCGAGTTCCTAGAACGCAGGGAATTGCTAAAGAAAAAATTGAATCAACTAGATATAATGCAGCATGGAAAGAATCAAACAAGAGAGCTTAAGAAGAAGGCCAAGGCCTTAGAATTGACAGCCAGGCAGGTTCATTTGAATTTCTGCTATGACATCAATGCAGCAAACAGGCAGATAAGGAAAGAATTGCAGGAACTAACTCAACAGTACCAAAAGTTGAACTCTGTGAAAAACCAGTTAAAAACACAGAAGCAGATGCTGAAGGAGGAGCAGTGGTATCTGGAAGCCTTAAAGAAAGGGAGACAGCGACTGCAGACACAGAGAAAAAACAAGGATAATGTGTGCCCCACAGTGCAGATTGCTCCAAGGGTCCCAAGGAGCCACTCCTTAGGCGCCAAATCAAGAGTAAACCCAAAGGGATTCCTGCAATTAGCTATGGAATAAAAACCAGCACTAATATTGCTGAGTGGTACATAGGGCTATGAAGAAGCCTTTGGAATAGCAGCTTATTACTGGAAAATACTCCAGCATAAAGGATGGAGTTGGCTGTGTTTTTCCATGGAAGCTCATTTTGGGGATGTGGACTTAATGATCCTGGATTGCCTGAGATTCACATTTGGCTGAATCATTTCTCTGGTTTGGGTCTGTTGAGGGTACCAAAATTATCCCAGATGTTTCTAATTAAAATTCTAATTTTAAAATTGCAAAAGATTTGAAAAACTTTTCTTTTAAAGAGTTGTGTGTCATCCCTTTATCTAGCAGTTTGACATTCTAATGATAAGAAAAATTACCCAATTATAGTATATATTTTAGTTTTCGTTTACTCAGTTTTTTTTCTTAACATAGTTTGTAGTTTACAAAGAGCCTTTTTTCTTTTTCATAAATTCCATAGATTTGTGCTCATTAGATAAAACTAGGAGCTACATTCTTGTAATTGGTGTGGACTTTTATTAGGGGATGTTGTATCTTTCATGTGTGTGGTAGACTGAGACTGGATGGGTCATAAATTGGAGAAAGAGCCCTGCTTGGTGAATATGGTCCTATGTTATGGTAAGGCCTCTTTCTAGGGAAATGTGTTCAGCATGTGTTTTCTAGGAAATGCTAGCAATGGAAAACTTCAAGATCACTTGCCACAATTTTCCATTTTTAAATACAAAATTAATTAATTTAAAATTGGATTAAAATAAAGAAGCTCCCTCATTGTGCTTTTAACTTCTAGCTTTATTTTTATGAAGAAACATATACTTTTATTAACTAATGTTTGCTACTAAAAAAATAAAAGCTTACCTGTGATTAGTTTAAAAACAACAACAACACTGCCTTGGCTAGGTACTGGTGGCTCATCCCTGTAATCCTAGCTACTCTGGAGACTGAGATCTGAGGATTGTTGTTTAAAGCCAATCCTGGATAGGAAAGCCCTTGAGACTGTATCTCCAACTGCCCAAAAGAGCTCGTTAACTTTATTGTGAGTTGAAGGAAGGTAGGAAAAGGTGGAGCCTAGTTAGAGGAAGTAGGTTACTTGGAGAATGTCTGTGGGGATGACATCTTTCACTGGTCTCTTCCTGTATCCCTTCCACTGCTTCCTGACTACCATGAGCACAGTTCTGCACCTGTTTCCACCACCATGATGTCCTGCCATACAATGTCCCACAAACCAACTATGCCAGCCACGATGAACTAAAACCTCTGAAACTTCAAACTAAAATTAATTCCTCCCTTTCTGTCAGGAATGTGGCCACAGCTATGCTAAGGTAATTAATGCATTTCCTTTCTTAGTAACCATAGGAGATAGATACTGTTGTGACAGCTATCCATTGCCCAGCTGAGATAATGGAGTACAGAGGTAATTTTCACATTAAGAGTGGCATGGTCTCTCAAATCTACTCTCTACTCTTGCTGCTCCAAGTGTTAGGAATTGAACAACAAAAAAAAAACTAATGTGATTAAAATAATACCATCTTAATGTAGCTTTTTTAGCCAAAAGCATACTAAGTACTTATTTTAAATAATACTAAATAAAAGACAGTTTCTAATATAATCAGCAGTTACTCATATATATGTTAAATTGTCCAAATGAAGAAGTCCAGGACAGGTTGTGACTTCCTCGTCCTGTATGGCTTAGCTAGTCTTCTTAAACTACCCAAATTCCAAGTCAAGATGTTTAAGGAGCTTTTTCTAGACTCCTCTAAATTGCAGTCTTGCTTGCTACTTTTGATAGAACAGCAATTCAAATGCAGAAGGAGAAAATCGTGAATTTTCAAAAAGAAGCTGGTGCTGAATTCAAACATTTTCATACATATACACACATATATACACATATAATATGTGTATACATATTATATATGTGTGTATATATATAATAACCAGAAAAGTTTTGATCACTCTGATCTCAAATTTGTAATCATAGACACTTTCAGCTATAGATGTTCAGTTTCTCTGTAAAATTAGGAATCCGGAAGCTGTCTCTAAGAAGCTTCTCAATGATAAGTGTCTCCATGTAAAAAAGGACCAGAAGTGGAGGAGCAGGGTACACAAAGGATTGACGATAAGGGGGTGTGTGGGAAACTGAAGCTGGTGATCATTTTAACTGGAAGTTACTACTTGAGAAGAATGAAAAAAGGATGATTCAGGACCCAGATGTGGTCATTCATCCCTAGGCAACAGGAAGCTATTAAAGGGTTTTGGTAGATAATGTAGCTCACATTTTCCAGACTTAGGATTCATGAAATAATATTCACAGTCTTTTAAAATGGAATACTAAGAAAAGGTATTTCCTTTTGTATTTATATCTCCTTCCCCAGATAGCAAATGCAAATGCTATCCATAAGGTGTACAGGAAGGAAACTTGAGGGTCTCCTTTCAGTCATCAAGGGACACTTAGACATTTCCATGTGGCTAATTCACGAAGACTAAATCATAGCTCAAAAAGCTACATGTCTTAAATGTCCAATGTCTATATGCTTATAAACAGCTTTAGTGGAACCGAACTTTCTTTTCTTTTATTTAATTTGGAACCATACTTTCAAACATGTTTTTGTCATAATTCTCATTCAAGTAACAAAACCATCATTTGAGTGTGTATTATTTATTCAAGAACACCCTTAGCCTTTCCAGATAGCAACTATGAAATCAGTGTGCAAACTATCTTCAGCTATTAAATCCCCAGGTACTCAACAAACAATGAACAACCAGGATCCAAGATGCTGCTGTAATCACGTAAGCCTGGAGCAGTTACTGAGTGACTAAAGTGTGGAAAAATCCATTGTGTTGAGGGAAAAAAAATCAATTATTGGACCCACGTAGTTCATGCTACAACATGTTTATATAATTACTACTTAGCCAAAAATGCACACAAATGAATATTCCTCCCTCCCTATCCTTCTCTAATCTAAAGATACTGGCATATAATTAGTACTTCTTTCTAGAACTTATGTGTAATGCATTTTCATTCACTCAAAAAATTTCATTGAGGGGCTGGGAAGGTGGCTCAGTGGAAGAGTGCTTGCCTTGCATGCCTGAGGCCCTGGGTTCGATTCCTCAGTACCACATAAGCAAAAAGAAAAAAGCTGAAGTGGCGCTGTGGCTCAAGTGGTAGAGTGCTAGCCTTGAGCTGAATAGCTGAGGGACAGCGCCTAGGCCCAGAGTTCAGGCCTCACGACTGGACCCCCCCAAAAAAATTTTTTTTCATTGAGCCAGATGTCAGTGGCTCACAACTATAATCTGAGGATCACTGGGCAGGAAACTTTATGAAACTCTATCTCCAAATAAGCACCAAAAACCTAGAAGTGGAACTGTGGCTCAGATGGTAGAGTGCTAGCTTTGAGCACAAAAGCCAGGGACATTGCCCAGGCTGTGAGTTCAAGCTTCAGTATCAACCCATGCATGCATGTGTGCCTACACACACACACACACACACACACACACACACACACACATTTTAATTGAGCTGCTGCTCTGTTCTAAGCATTATCCTGGGCACTAGAAAAGAGAAATTAATAATATTTCACTTCTGCTTTTGAATTGATGATTGTGATATGAGAGAGAAATTTAGAAATAAAAAGAATTGAATTACAGAGTCTACTGAAATATACAAGGTATTGTTTGAAACTGAAATTTATGCTGTCCCCAGAATCAGGGTCAAAATAAAAAATAAACAGGAATTCCCAGCTGCAGTTTCTTACTAAACAATCCCTTTTACCCAGGACAACAGTCAATTTTTAATAGGAAAAACAGGAAGCATCTTATTCAGAATTGTGGTTGAAGGATGCAGGCTGAATATTCATTAGAATAAGGGTAGAGGGAAGCAGGAGAAAGAAAATAACAGGAAGCCAGGAACCCTCATAAGCTTGAGAATTTCTTAAACGTCTGGAAAGTGTTTCCTAGACAGTCTCCACAGAAGAAGCGTTGTGAACTGTCCTATTGTGGAACTCAATATGATCATGATAACTAGGTTAGATAAACTATTCTTTAGTTCCTAAGAAGTGGCAGTTCACAGGCTCTACATCCATTTGAACAATGAAAGCATATGAGAATAAGAGCATCATTTTCTTTCTGTACTGTCACCTAAAGTCAGATTAAAGGAATCCAGAGGCTGAATGAAACCATAATGACGATGTAGTATAACCAGGAGTGCTAACAAAGAATAACATGCTTTCTTCTTGCCCAGTGGTTTCTAAGCCACAGCCTCACTGCCACCAATGAAAAAATAGCATCATTGGACTTGGCTGAATGGTTGGTGAATAGGTAAGCTTAGGGGCCAATTGCTGGAGAGGGGATCATATATATTCAGTAGTGCTATAAACATAGACAATGAACTGGCTCTAGAAAAATGAGATTGGCATTTTCTTTTTATTTCTCTGAAAGAACAAAGAAGAAATGCATATTGGCAGGATAATTAACTATCAGATGTCTTGCTGAATTAAGACATTATTTTTGAATACAGTTTCTCAAATGGACAGCTGAGCAATATTAAAGGTGACCTAGGGAAAAAAATGATTGCGAGAACTTCCCTCTACCCTGGCAATATGTAAGCATAAGTTCAATGCATTTGTCTGCACTGTGCAAAGGAAATCAATGTTCCGTATTAGTTAAACTCATTTAAATTTGCTTCTCAGCCAGTGAAAATATGTAAGGTCCAACAAGGCAATTCTCAGTGAGTCAGAGCACTATCACCATTCTCCTCTCCTCCCTCCCCCACCCACATCACTCCAGTTCACCTCCTTCCTACTCTCAGACAAGTACACAGCCCTTTGTTCACATTCTTCCCCTCACATCTTTCTAAGGGAGTGAGCTGGGGTGTGGTTGCTGCAGATGAACTGACTCCCTCACACTTCCAGTCTGAACTCAGTCCTTCCTACAGAGTTTCTTACAGGCATATAGAAAATACCTGGACTCAGAAAGCAGAGAGAATAACATATGAGGTAATTCTCTGGTGTGCCCTCCCT